ATAAATATATATATATAAATATATATATGTAAATAATATATATATGTATGTAAATATATATATATATATATATAAACCCAGCCTTTGACGTTACTGCAATAAAAACTGACGAACAAAAGCTTAATTGAATCGGCTACTCAATCATAGGGAATACTATCGTACAGGTTGAAAGCAGATCACCCTTACATTGAATCACTACGCCAAGAAAACTTAGACTTGCTGTAATTGACTGTTGTTCTGATATTGCCCTGCATCTCACTGTTACAACTATTCGCATTTTTCTTTGATTTAGAAAATTTCTTGGTGCACACACCTCCGAGTACCACCTCGGAATCTGTAACATTTATGACTCGGTATACTTATCGTTCGAAGTAGTCACACAATAATCTTATTAATTCGTATTCGCACTATATTAAAAGATTAATGGTCATGTTGCTTTTGGACGGTGTCGTCAAAGCAGGTATAAACTATCACCACACATTTATGTAAATAAACATCAGCAATACTAGACTGGCAGCTCTACGGAGTACGGAATGTACAGTGTACGGTGCCAAATAGCTTGAAATGACATAACCTTCTAAACGACTCAATTTAAACGACTCAATTCAGAACAATCTATGCTATTTGAGCAGTTCCGTTCTACACAATCATTCTGTTTTTTCATGAGTGTTTTATCCAATACCTTATTTTACACCGTACAACAATAGCCTGCTAGATTATTCATGTAAATACAACATAAATCAATACATAAGTAGGTGTTCTAAGGTTTCCTCCGTTGGCAAATAGCTATGTCTACTCTATTTAGTATTATTTGTTATAGACTGGTAGAGGAGGCATGTGTCAACCTGTTGGTAACTGACAAAGTGGCGGGCCAATGGCCAAGGCCCACCCAATGACACCGCCAAATGAAAATATAAAGAAAAGTTGTGAATATGATATCATTGACCAGTCGCTACATAAACACTAAAGAAATCAATACTCTATTTAGAGACTGCGAGAAGAAAGAATATATGCCTGAACGCACTAACGTCCGTAATACTTTATTTACATAATAGTGTGTGGGGTCTCTTCTTGGATAAAGGATAATTTGTAAACATATCAAATACTGGCTCTGTTCTGGACAACCACACCTGCTATACTACAATATATGTGCAGGAAGACTTAATATATAGCTTCTGGACGAGAAGCATGACAACTCACAATAACATGAGCGTGAACAACACAGGGTAACATCAGCTCAAAAAGAAATCCATATAGCAGCACTCGTCAAGATACGGGGTTGAAGTGTGCGATATGAACGCAAAAATGGGCAAGTCGAGACCATCTATACAGATGTCGGAGAATGCCGGCTATCCGTCGATCCAGAATAAGGGAGAAGTAAATGTGCACGCAAACGCCCATGTACAAACACTCCAAGCCCACGCACGCACAATCTCAGTGGATGATAACATGATACGCCTACACAATGAGAGAGTTAGGAACGGAGATACTGATGATGGTTATCATACAGAGTTGACGTTGAGGAGAGGTATGCCTCAGGGGTTTCAGGGCAGGATAACTAATGGATTAGACAATAATTTGAGAAACTCGTTTGATATTCAACAACGGATGAATTATGAAGGAGAAGCAGAAAACAACAGAACAGGGCAGCAGGTATATATATATATATATGTGTGTGTATATGTATGTATGTATGTTTGTATGTATGTATGTATGTATGTGTGTATGTATGTATGTATGTATGTATGTATGTATGTATATATGTATGTATATATGTATGTATGTATGTATGTATGTATATATATATATATATATATATATATAGTGTGTGTGT